TTAGGGTTAATAGGGTCTGATCCAAAGGAGTCAAATTACCATGTGACTGCATTCTTCCCCGAGATCAGCTATCGTTTACATACAGAGAGTCAGGTTAGTGCAGTGTTTCATTCCTTGCCTTCCACTTCTGGGGGCCTGGGTTCGAATCCGGCTTGGTCCATGTGTGGATTTGGTTTTCAGTCGCTACCTGAGTCTGTGGGTTTTCCCGAAACGTTTATCCGTGGTTTTCCTCCCACCTCTAAAACTGAACATTTCTTCACTGTCTTCTTCACTTATTATCATCCTGCAATTGTTACGATTGTGCTGCTGGATGAACAGATAAATAAATAGGCAAGCATTTTGTTATTAACTGTATGTTGCTTGACAGGCAGGCTCATTTTTCTCAAAAAGGACATGTACGTACATTGTAGGATAATCAATAGGATAATCCTACTTGTATGTCACAGCTCATATGGACCAAGATCTACATGCAATAATGGTTTTTCGCACTGCTTTTGTGCACACTCAGTTGTGGGCCCTACAGATTGTCTTAAATGAATCGTCTGTCGTCACATTTTGCAGATCCTGTTCTGCACGCTCAACACCCACAAAGTGGACATGGAGAGGCTCCTGGGAGGTCAGATAGGCCTGGAAGATCTCATTGTGGCGCACGTGAAGGGGCCGACGAAGGCCATCGAGTGCCTGAAGTCGGACGCCTCGCTGGGGCTGACCATCACTGACAACGGGGCGGGCTACGCCTTCATCAAGCGCATCAAGGAGAACAGCGTCATGGAGGGTGTGGCCGAAGTGCTGGTGGGCGACCACATTGAGGCCATCAACGGGAAGAGCATGATCGGATCCCGCCACTTTGAAGTAGCCAAAGAGTTCAAGGACCTGCCCGTGGGCTTAAACTTCACTGTCAACTTGGTGGAACCCAAGAAGGCATTCAGTAAGTGCATACTTGTAGCACATGTAGAAATTGTACTTAAATCTAACTGACTGGTGGGATATTTTTGCATGACACAATCCTAAATCCTCTAAAATATCCAACTGACTAGGGAAATCAGTGGCTTAGTTTGAACGTTAATTTTTTCAAGTAGCCTCAAGCCCAATGGGAAGTCACAGTGGCTAGGATGTACCTTTCTCCACTTTTCCAACCCTTCAAAACTCACGGACGATTTTATCACAGCCCTATTTCCCACAGGAGTTCAAGACTCATAGCCAAAAGTGCTGTAAAAGGGAAGAAGTAGACAGCTGCTTAACTAAAGGCTCATTTAATGTGGGCGATTCACAATAGTGCGTCTCCAAGAATTTGCAACGCATTGGCCAATCATAGCGCGCACATTGGGTCGACAAATTTCGTGCACTGTGATTGGCCAGTGTGTTGCAAACTCTTGGAGGCGCACTGTTGTGAAATGCCCGTGTTGGAGTGACCTGAAATAGGCAAACCACGAAAGGCACAGGGTCCGACCTTTTGAGAACTTGGATTTGGACAAATACAGCAAAGATCTTAGTTTAATAAAACAACAAAATCCCCATAGGCCTGGGTTAAGCCTATAGGTAATTCAGTACTTGTAGATATAATCAGCGCTGTGCGAACACAACAAATTGACTGGCATGGCAACCATGCCAGTACATGTATTCGCAGAGATTAAGGTTGGGCAACCCCATTAACATCAACCCTACATGTACCTAATGCCGGCCCAAGGTACATTAACCGTAACCCTACATAATACTACAAATTACTACTTGTAGTAAAATGTAGTACTAAGTGCTGTCGCTTGGAAGAAGACACAGCCTTATTGTTTTCACAAGCCATAAAATACAATAGATAAGACAATGTACCATACAGTGCTGTGGCAATATGAATGCATGGCTTTATTGTTCTCTGTAATAGTAACAATGGAAGTAACCTAGCCAGAAGTAGTAATCTGTAGCGCTAGGTCCTTCAGGCTCAGACTATTACTTAGTATTTTGTAGTACTGTGTAATGTAAGCCAAAGAATATGCTTAGCGGTTAGGGTTAAGTTGCTTTTTCTCCGCCAGATATTGTTCTTCACCAAATTGTACACATGTACACACACAAGTAATGGACGGTGTAATATGGCTTGCATAGATCTTTATTCAATAAACAAATGATAAAATTTGTTAAAGACACAATCTGAAAATGTGCTGTAAATGTACACATATTCATGTACTTGTATGTGTATACATGTATGTACCTTCATGATGCTTTATTTGACAATATGCATCATTTCTAAGAACTAGTACTTTGGTCTTGCCAGGGGAGGTGCCTGTAGCAGCATGAATAGTCATGATTGATCTTAAATGATTCAAACTGACCCTGGATGAAGATATTAACATGCAGATGTGTCTTCTTATTTCCACTGGTGCAGACCATTTTGTTTTCCTTGACTGTTTAATTTCTGACTATTCTGTAAATAACTGGAAATTTAGACAAGGCAGTTTTGTTCATGTATTCCAACTACGACTGACTATTTTCCATTTTAGATTTACATGTAAACTGCAAGCGTTATGGAGGTTACATGTACCAGGTTGTTATGAAATACCGGTAGGCCCCAAAGATTGGAAAATAGGCATTGCGCCACATGATTGTTTCATGATCACTTTTAGGGAAGCAATTTTTGTGTCCTGTATTTTCATAGTTTCCATTTCTTTTCTGGGCTTGTACGCAGGGCTATTAAAGGTATTTGTTTTGTATGAAGTACATGTACATGTACACTGTAAATATAAAAATGGCAAGGTGTGTTCTTACGACGTCTAAGATTTTAAAAATGTGATGGAAAAACCAAAATTCTTCATTGATACTGGTTTTTTTAGAATCAGCACAGAAATGACAATACCCCAACAAGCGTGAAATCTAGCTAACATTTGTATTGCCTCGCACACGGCTCTGCCGAAGACCTCAAAATGTCACTCATTAAGGAGCACACATTGAATCTAATTTGTTCCCTCGGGCAATGAGATGGCATCATAGTACACATGTACAGTGCTGCCTTCTGTCTCTTGTGAATTCAACCTTAAACCCTGCCTGTTACAATCAGCAGGTTTAGGCCACCAATCCCTGATTAATTGTGCGGGTTTCCTTCCAAACAATTTCTCCTGGGGTTCCCTCCCACTCAGTGTTGAATTACATAGGTATATGTAAGTGTTGGCATTTTAAATTTTAGCCCCAAATTGAAAACAGGCTTACCAAATACACACGCACAGGTATTGCTGGCTTTTAGGGACGTCCAAAACACCCCTCCCCCAACCACCCATATGGTTTTAAAGTTACCCTCACCATACGGTCCACCTTCAAGATCCCCTCGGTTTTCTGTGTTGTCTTTTCTGAGAGGATTCTTGTCTCATGCTAAAAAAATGTCCTAACATCTTTATCTCACAAGGCAATTTCTTCTCTTTTGTTCTTGCTTTCTTCCCTTCCCCTTGTATAACTTTGGCACTCCACTACGTCCGTGAAAAGAAAAATTAGGGATTGGGACAATTCAAGGGAACCTTCCAATTTATTTTAAGACCACAATAAAGATGGCTCGTGTTCCTTATTTACGGAGTAACTCCTAGTGTACATTACATCAAGATCATGGATACATGTAAATACATACCCATGTACATGGAGCCTGTTACCGGTACATGTAAACTGGTACTGTGCATGTGTGCTCTGGCAATTTGGTTACCTGGACAAAATGTAGTTCATGCATACATGTAGACACAATGCACCATGTAAATATGTGTACAGCAATGTACATGTACACTGTCCCAGACTGGGTTACTAAAAGGAATGTAAAAATTATGAGTACAAAGTTCAGTTGGCCATGAATTGATAACAGAAGTTTATATTCAAATACAGTGTGAACTCTGTGGTTTACTGTAATTGAATTGAATCTGGAAACAGTTCATTTTTTTAGATTTTGGTACCTGAAGGGACAGGTTGGATACAAGAACTGATTGTACGGTACGCTCTTGCACGGTACAGTGTATGAGCTTGATTTGTACAAAGATATTCGGGATGAATATGAAAACAATTCTAACAAATTTCTTGAAGACAGAGATGGACTATGAAAAAAAGTCTTAGCGCTGCTTCTCTGATGACGGACAAAGTGGATTGTGTTTAGTATGACGTACAATATATGGGCAGATTTGATATACTAGTACGTACATGTACATACATGAACATGTACATACAATATAAATACATGTACATACATACATGTATTAGCATAGTTACACGTACATTGTACATGTGCGTCTTGTGTGGGTCCACTCACTGAGCTACGTGTAGATAAATATATGCACAAACATGTGGTCGTATGTGTTCTTATACATGTCCCTCCATTCTGTCCATGATTATTCATCTACATGTACATGTACATCGACAATCCATCTTCATCACGTGCTCTGCTGTTGAACACTACAATGTAAATGCGCATAAGTTGCATTTGTAAAGACGGTACCAGTACACGTACAGTATACCTGTACACCTGTCAGTTGTGCACAGTGCTTGTACGGTATTTATTGGAGATTCTGAGACCAGATGCCACGGTGGCTATGCAAATAGACTGACTATTATTGTGAATAATATATTCTTACAAAGCAGGATAGAGTGTGCCGGTACTGCTTTCACATGAATTGGCATTTGCAGATGCGCAAACAAAATCTGGTAGGGGTTGCAGTAGCCACTGCTTGATTTTGATGACTTAGAATTAGGATGGGAATTGACTCATGCACATCATTAAGCTGGAACAATAAAGCCTCTTAATGGGACATACAAGTACATGTAGGCTATTCAAATATCTCACACATGTACATGTACGTAACTGGACAAGTAACCAACCAGTAATGCATAATGAAGTGTGCATGTACTTGCACAATACTTGTAAATGTGGGTCATTCTATGAAGTCAGGATCCCTGTTATCCCTGACCTGTGTAATTTGACAGATTGATTTCAAACTACGGTACAAGCATTTCTATTTGCTTGACAGTTAATTTGCATTAATTCGTCACTCTTGGAAAAATTAGAGCATGTGTTCTGAACTCGCAAAGTAGTCCATGTAACGGTACGTGTCAGACAGGAGAGGGACACGGAAAAAATCGGACCCCTAATTCACACCGGTAGAATGATCCATGTATACAGGGATCATTCCTGTGTACCATTACGCATTGGGACAATCAGGAATGTACATGTAGTGCATGTAAGTATGCCAAACTGTGTTAAACCTCAATTGTCTCGCCCAAAACGGGCTAAATTAGGCAATTTTTATGTTTGACAATTCTTCTTTCAAGATTACTGATTATTTTTATACTTGGAAGTAATCCGAAGTTGGAAATGTGCACAGGGCAGTGTTCCTTCAGCAGGGTTCAGCGTAACCTTGACTCTTGCACAAATTGATTGCACTCCCCCCCCCCGGAATTGATTATCCTATCAATGGATGTATTCAAAGGCAAATCAAGTCTGGACGGAGTGCAATAAATTGGCGCAAGTTTCAAGATTGCTACAACATTACGCATGAAGAATGATGAAAAGCAACACCTCACGTGATCTCTGTTTTTGTGTGCAGCCAAAATCGCGCCCCGTTCGGCCACCCCGGTAATGGCCCCACCAGTGGCCGCCACGCCAACCGAGAACCAGGTGAAGACGGGTAGGGAGACGTTGCGGTTACACAGCAAGGGGCCGGCTGAGATAGTCAAGGAAGAGGTGAGTTCAGCTTTGGATTTCAAACTTCTCGGATTTTTTTCCTGGAAATTTGAGGCTCATCGTCCTGCAAGGCCTCATACATACATTTCTGCTTCAAATGGAGAGTCGGGGTAAGGCTGAATGAAGCTGTTTTTAACAGTAGATATTTTTCACTGGTGCATGCAAGCATGCTGCTCTCTCCGAGGATGCTTCTGGCAACTAAATGCCTCATTCTCAAATAGTGGAAAGGAAATGCAAAGCATTGTGGGCAACGTATTGCTAGGATCATTGCAAGCACAGTTGTGGCAAATGTGCCCATGCATGATGTGAATGCAGACATGGCCAACAAATATACAAAATCTGTCCCATGAGAGCTAAATAACAAATAGCTGTCACCAGAGCCCTTGATGGGAATGTGATTTGTTGAGTATTTTTTATTGATTCCAGAATTTAGTCTTTTCTACCTAAGATTGTTACATTTTAGAAGTCTTGTCAGTTGTGTTTTGTAACCTTTTGGTACAGTGCTTTGAACACAAATAATAGGTGCAATGTTGGTGTAATTGTAGACATTTACGAGAGAATTCAGACACCCCGTAAATTCACAGTTTTTCATTGTCCTAACTTCTTTGTTAAGTTTTTAAAGCCGCATCTTCCATGTGTGCATATCATTCAAACCGCAGTTACTTGTATGTCATCTTAGCACACCACTTGTGGGTCTTACAGGAAGATTGCCATCCGTCAAATATTTCTGTCAAAAGAAGGAGCCATGGTCTCCGTCACAGGAATGTAACTGAAAGATGGCGTGCTTTGTTTATGTGACTTTTATGGACTGCTGCTATAAAATCCCATTCTGTCTGTCTCTCTTTTATACGGTAACTCAGGATTTCCAGATCTGTGAATGGACGGCGGTTCACCGACTTCCAAAAAGCTTGCTGGTTGACAATTGTCCCGGTTCATTCTCCCATGAGTCAATGAATAGCCCATTACCGCGGCATACTGTATATTATGGACATGAATTTTGGGGCAATTTATTTCCTCATATCTTGGCTTGGTGTCTCTACATTTTCATGTGTCACAATGGACGTTTACACAAGTTGTATGCATGTACATTTTGTTCAGTCAGACATGTGCTGTGTGTCTAGATGTACTTACTGGTCCAGGGGTAATTCCGGAAATTAAGGATCCCTTTTTTTTTCGTATCCCTGCCACATCTGACATATGATTTTGTAAGTTCAAAACACATTTTCTAATTTCCAGGAGTGATGAATTAATGCAAATTACCTGCCAAACAAATAGTAATAGTTTGAAATCAATGCAGGTGATATTTCCATTGCAAATACCAAAGGTCAGATGTAGCAGGGGCCCCTAATTTCTGGAAAATTTTACCCACATGTATCTCAGGAAATTACAAATGATTCAACCAACTTGAAGTTCAGCAGTACATGTATGTACATGTAAACATGTACCAGTAGTCACATAGATTACATGTACATACACTACATGTATACAGAACACCATTTTTCATATAATAATAAAAATAATGTATTCTTGATATACATGTAGCATCTTACCAGTACATTAAAAATCTCAAACGCTGTACGAGAGAATCACAAACATGTAAATAAAAACCAACTGACAATTAATATACCTTAAGCCTAACAGTCCTCAATCCTCCAACAGGTGAAGGATTGAGGACTGTTAGGGTTAAGCATTAAGAAAAATGTATGTACTGTGACTCACAAAAATGAATATCTTTAGTAACATTTGCAGAAATCCTATTCAGTTCAATTCACAATCACATTATTCAATTCATTTCCGCATTCACATCATTATTAAATTCAAATAACTAATTACTGAATCGGTGTGAAACATTAAGAATAATGTCTCCTAAGAAATTTCTTAAGTTGCTTCCTAAAACTTCCATTATTACCATTGCTTCTTAAAATTAGTGCAATATGGGTAACAGACATCTATAATACATGTATTATTTACATTCCAGTACCACTCCTCCTTGTGGTTGTCTGCCTGTGGCATTTTAACCAGCTTCTCCCCTCTTCATCACTTCTCCTCGTTCCTTTCCAGCCCAACAAATTTGAGACCATTGCAGCCACCAAGTGTGACGATCTGCTTGAAAGCTACATCGGGATCCGGGATGAAACCCTCGGTATGTTCCAGTTTAATTTGGCCTCAGAAATCTTTTCTATTTAGAATGCAACTCTTCCTCAGATCAGCTTGTCCCCATTTTCACTTCTCGTGTGTGTTATTGCAAATTGGAAAACACTGTGTTAAAGTCTGGGATTTCATAGTTTTTCATAGAATTTCATAGTTTTTCATAGAATTTCATAGTTTTGTTCTGAATTCCCAGTTGCAAGCCTGTTCTGGGTATGTACATGTATGACTCTGTCCTGATATGCTTGTAAATGGAATGAATTCCGGAGTGGTTTAGTTTGTGTATAAAACTAATTTCCATTTAAGAGTTAAAGTGAAAGTAATATTCGCTTAGTCCAGTTTTGACTAAAGGGGAATTAAAAAGTTTATTCCAAACAAATGTTGTGCGCTGATTTATATTTTTGAAAAACAAGGTTAAAACAAAATATTGAAAATACAAATCACATGTAAGAAAAAACAGTTGTAAAATGTGCATGGAATTAAATATTCTGAATGAGATAAAATGGAGTAATTAAACAAGGGTAGCAGAGTGAATGATTCAAACAATTTGTAGGATCACATAATTTTGATATCTGCGCATACATGTATGACAGCAAGGAACCACAAGCCCCCAATTGTTTCATTCTAGTGATAGCCGGCATTTGCTGGTTCACGTGGAGAGCAGGTTTTAGACCCTTCAAGGATTGATAAAAATGCGTTATCTGCAGCATCGAGGGATGCACATGACTAGTCTTCCTCACTGCAGAACCAGTTTTGATCGTTTACAGTTTCATGGGCCATGTAAGCTCTAGGCCTGAATTCTACCTGCGTCTGTGAAGCAAGTTCACTGTGTTTTCTGTGAATTCATTTGGAAATACTGTATTGTCTCTGCTGCGTTTGCGTGAGGTTGGTTTCAGAGCCTTCTAGCGACCATATTTGGGGTGGGTTGATGGACTGGTTTCAGTTTTGGGCAGTTGTGAAATGTTTTCAAAGTGTCTGTCACAGCAAGGTCATTTTGAATGAAGGGTGTCTATGTGAGGTCCCAGCACAATCACAGAGATCTCAAACAAAATGGTTTAGAGTCGGCTCACTGATAACACACTCTGCCGCGTTTTTGTTTTTTTTTATACTGTTTATCTTCAACCACTTCTGCTTGTACTTTGCCTTTTGATGTCAAAAGGTCAGGTTTCTTTCTAGTCTGTGATAGGCCTACCTGTAATTTACTGAATACATGTGCAATAAAAACCCGCACTGCAGGTGCAGTGCATTGGCAGATCTAGAACCTCCTTTTGGGGGGGGGGTGTGGGATGTGGAAGGGAATGGGAAATGTCTTCATATTATTTTATTCATATTGTTCTTCATTTTATGGCCTTTCTGAGGAGTGAAGCTGAATTTTCCGGCTTTTTACCTGCTTTTTGAGGGAAGCGAATTAGTTCCCAGACCTCCTTTAAAACACATTCTCATATTTCCTTTGCCCCTTGCCCTGTTGCCCAAGTCACTGTCAGAGATGTAGCTTACAACATTAGATCATTTTTTGTGGCATGATTCGTGGATCTATGTAAAGGTTTTGGATGGTACGCAGTTTTAATACAGCTGTTTGACCTCGTGCTAAGCATTGCCATTTGTGGTGAAAAAAGCCAAAATAGTAACTGTCCTTGATGAACACCGACCGTACATGTACATACGTGTAAGTGTAGCCCTATTTATTCCATGTTACCCTCCAAGTTCTGTTCCTTTCCCTCTACATATTCAGGCAAAGCCTCATAGAAAGTACAGTTTGAAGCCTAAACTTCCTGTGATGAGGCCAGCCTGTACCATTCACACGTGAAGCTCGTATACATGCATTTAACTGTCCTCAGGGTTTGAAGTTCACATACTGGACCGCTGGACCATGTCCATTGACATTGATGTCAGTCTCATGGCAGCCAGTGACTACGCAAGTGCAGTGGTCTATCATTTTTGACCATTGTTATTCTTGGCTGAATAACACTGGCGAACCTGTAAAAAGTTAATTGTACAAACTGGAACCTTTTTGGCAGCACTCGTGCATGGCCAGTGTTGGTGTGATTTGTTCATCTCATGTGAGAGCAGGTTAAAAATCTTACATTCATCCAGTTTAATAGAAAAAAAACAGCTGTACAGCTGGTGAAAACGTTGCATGGGTCTTGAAAAAATGGTTTGGGTCCAGTAAATTTTATTAGCCAGTGGATTATTAGTCTAGTGACTTTCAAATAAATTTCAAATTCTGATTCTGACTGATTGTGTGCACAAGATTTGATCTTTTTTTTGGGGGGGGGGTCAGTAGAACACACGAGTCTTTTGAGCACAGCGGCAACCAGATTTACCAAATTTGCATTCTGCAACTTTTCTGTCAGTCACAAGAAAAATGGAATTTTTTTCATTTGCGTGAGAGTTGAAGGATATAAAATACCTTGAAATGTGGTGCTTTCCGTAGTTTTTTTTTAACAGTTTCAGCTACATGTGCTGCAGATCTGGTCAAGAACATTTCGTAAATTTTACTGGTGTCTGTCATGATTTTTTGCTTGAAATACTTGGCAAATTCCTTATCATGAAAGGACCCCTGCCAAGTCTTGATGTGTGGGTGCATAGTGAGCTGGCTTATTGAGTATGTGGGGGCAAAAGAGCTTCACCAATCCTGACTGCGAGTTGGACTGATGTCTTGTGTCTTTTTACAGCGGAGACTCTGGTGGGGTTATTCAAAGGCAAGTCAGACTTTTCGGACTTTATGGCGGCGGTGGAAGAACAGCTCGGAGAGCTGGAATTCCCTGAGGAATTCATCTTTGACCTCTGGGGCATGATGGGAGATGTGAAAGATGGCCGGATATGAATGCTACCGTTTCCGCCAACAGTTAAAATTTGAAGGAGGTAGGTAAAAAGTTGTATTGAAGTTGGTTTGTCCATTTTGCTCGGATGTGTATCCGTCTGTATCTGTTTTTTAGTCACTTTTGCAATTATCTCTGGCCCGTTTTCATGGCACTTATACATGTACATGTACATTTACAAAATGTGAGAAATTGTATTCACACTTTATTTCACTTTTGTCCCGCAGGAAAGGAAGCAAAAGTCCGTCTCTTTTTTATTTGAGTACAAGGAATCAAGAGTCTCGACTACCAATGAAAAAATTATTTGTATATTTGTAATTGTTAATCAACGGCATTTGCCGCAAGGGTCTCAAGTACATGTAATTTTAATATTTTCTTTTTGGTGATACTTTTCTTTAAATGCATACATGTTAATTAAGCTTTTTCACCTTCCGCCGAGCCAGTTTGAGGAATTTCGAGGAGCAGCATACATGTTGCTGATGTCAATTCAAGATTGTAGTTAAAAGTTCTTATCCCAGCATGGAGTTTTTACACTCTTCCTTGTTCGGTCTCTTTATACCAAAGTTTACCAGTGGGCCACATTAAATCTAAAACAAGTGACTAGAGACCAACGTTTATGCCCCAAGGAGAATCTTTTTTATTCGCTCTCTTTGCAGTTAAATGTCTCGCCCACCATTGAAATGAAGTCACAAGTTCAATCCTACCAGTTTGATTGATGTTGATTTATTTATTCGATAATATGAACAGGAACAAGGTGCACTATGGTACATGCTAATCTTTTATGCAATTTAAGCAAATGTGATAAGCTTTTTCTGAGTTGACTTTGACCCAAATCTGGTACACTGAGTTCTTTAATTCACGTGAATAGTACAACTTTAATTCTCCTTACTAAAACCACTGTTGCCATACCTCGTGATTCCAGGCAAGCTTTTGCTTAGTTACATAAGAGATGCCTTGCAACAATACACTGTTCTCAATGGAAAAGAAGGGCACAAAGGAACCAGTCCATTCCAGAGATGGTGGTCGCTATGCAAAAGCTTGCCCCGAATCACAAGGTATAGCAACAGTGTCCTTAGTCTGGGGAATTCAAATCGTTATGTTCATGTGCAGTTGGATAACTCAGTGCACCAGATTTTATTCAAATTTAACTCGCAAATGGCTTATTCCATGATCTGTAGGCATCTGTCTTTTTTAATGGTTCATGACTCTCAATGTCTGTATTTTTTAGTGTGTACTCAGGTGATTTGTGTTCATTCTTCAGACACTGTCTTGTAGTACTTCACATTCCAGAACTTTTACAGAGTCTGCGGAACTGAACGCACAGTACATGTATGAAGCACAGTGACTGTAATTTCAATGCTGACACAGTCATTCAAGGCGAGTGCAGAAAGAATTGTCGTTTGTGGCATGCACTTCCTATTTTAGACAGTGTGAGAAATGAAAGCACAATTTCAATGTAGTGGATTGTTTTTTTTATCTGACGGTGCCAGTGTTTGGTGCGAAGGTTATGAAATTCAGCAGTGTTTTTATTCCCACGTGGCTGGCAGTAGCTTGAAGAGGCCCATCCAGTGCAAATGAGTGATTTCCCCTTGAGGATTCTGCTTGCATTCAGTACTTGTAGATACAGTGCAAAGGAGGTTTAAAACATTACCTTGCAAAAAAAGTGTGTACAGCAGTTGATCTAGTGAGGGTGTCTGACCTGTGTCAAAGTTTGATATACAATTAATGAATCTGGAAACAGAGTTTCTTGACCCTCCGTTGAAAACATATGTGGGCAAAGTAACTTTTTTGTTATCAAACTATTTTTTTTTTTTGGAGAATTTGTCACAATTGGGCAAATTTCATTAAGTAGCCCCAAAATTTCAGACAGTCAGGTCGCAGACTTGTTTTTGTAAAGGCTGTCTGTTGCATGTATTTTGAGAAATCTAATTATGGACGAGGGCAAAATCCGAAGTGGCCAGGAAATATCAAATGTACGTGCATTATTCAAGCAAATAAGAATTTTCTTAAAGGCCAAGCCGGCTGGGGTGTTCTAAAGTCTGTGAGAGCACTTAAAATGATTCACGTGCCTTACTGTGTCTGCACGGTACATGTATATGCAATGTGTGATCATGTTGAATTGTATAACTGTAATGTGCTCTGTCAAAATGTGAGGTTTGTTGCGAGCTGGATATGTGTGTCCACTGTCAAATCGAAATTTCTGTGCATACAAAATGTAACAACCCCTTTGATTGTTAGATTCAGGTGTACATGTAAGAGGTGAGTGTCAAACGATAGACCAAGTCAGCAATCACAGTCAGACATGTTTGCTGTGGTGCTACCCTACTAATGTACTTATGTCTGGCACATATAATTGTCTGTTTGACCAATAGGGATGCTGTGACTTTCCAAAATGCATGCTTCTCTCAATTTCATGTACCGCAGCATAATACAAGTCTTGTTTATCAGTTAGCCATCTTGAATCAAGAGCAAGGCATTTCCTGTAAAACTGTCTAAAAGTGTGATATGTATGGGAACGAAGATGACGCATGAGGGGCAAATTAGAGGTTTACCATCTGTGTCTTCTGAGAGGTAGTTCCAAATTATGAATAAGAAGTCATGTCACCTCTCTTTGTCTGAATGAAAAATATTTTTTCAAAGTGATGCTATTCCTGTCATTGTAGCGATGTAGTCAGGCTCCTTCTCACTGCAGAGCATTCAGTAAATGAAGTGTGTTTGGGAAGCATGGTCCAAAATGGCCATCTTAGGAGCAAAGCCCATGACATTGTCAACTTATCAAGTGTTCTGCTGCACTGTTCTTACTGGCTTAAGCAGAGCAAATTAGAGGAGTGCCGTGAAGCAAGAGGCACCATCCAGATGCTTTTCCTGGAGCAAAAGAAAGCAAACATGAGGCTGTGCCGCGCGGTACTGAAGAGAAGATTACTTCAGAGATTTTGCCACGTGTGTGTTTTACTCTGGGCAATCCGCCCCGAGTTGAAGTGCACCCCCAAGCGGCAAAAGAAAGACAGATGGTAGTAAGTTTTTCAAAAAGGTTCTTGCATGTGTTCTGCATGTACACAAAGACCATACATGAAGCGATAAATTTGTTACGCGTACTCAGCGTGCTCCATGTCAATGATCGCCATAAACGCGTGCCGATGCAGATTAATTAAAAGCAAAGAGACAAAACTTTGAAAGGGGTTTGAAGGGTTGAGATTAGGAGGATAGAGTGGCAGTATGGTATCTTGACTCATTCTGATTGCTCAGTTAATTAAGAGGTACCACCCTAATGATGTCAGCTTTACTTTCAGTGTTTGTTTTTGACTTTGATTTTGTGCAATTAGAAATTCAAATCTCGTATTTTTATGATTGAAGGTGGTTATGATTGTCTAAATTGTTTAACCATTCAGTTATTAGTGAATTTTACCAGGTAATCAGTGCTTACCACAGTGGAGTGATATAGTGGCCAAGATTATTTTTAAAAAACTTAACAGTAACTACATGATTTTGTCTTTCTTCAAATAGTCAGTACAGTGTAGATGGAGTACTTGTAATTGAACCATTTTATTTGTTTCGATGCATACATTTAGTGTGGAAATAATGTTATTTAATCATCAGGTGATGTGTAAACACATGTATACTTTACCTTATTTGTTCCACGGAGGCCGTGTACTTGCATTTAAGAATTCTTTTTTTTGTTTGCGCGGTTGACGTATTAACACGTCGTGCTTTGTTGGGCCAAAGCACAGTTGCAAGGTTGAAGAATGTGGGTAAAATCCGCCTTTTTAAAATCCGCAGCTTTTTCGGGTAAGAAAATCCGACGTTGACTGGTTAACCTACATGTACATGTATTCATTGCATTGTGACCACATTAAAAATGGATGCTGTAGCTAAAAATCCAACGAGATTAAACCAAGGAGACCTTGTAACAGCAGTGGCAGTGCACCAAACTCATTTGCATTCTTCAACCTGTGGCGCAGGTGCATTTGGCAAATCAGAGCACCCTATTGGTCAAAGGCATTGCACATGCACGTTTCACTTTTCCAAGAGTGCGAGGCCCACTGCAGTATTGTCTTACCGAATCAGTTTACACTTTAGTGGCCTACCCAGAATCTAACACAACCATTCTCCTGAATTGGAATATTTCAGTGTCTCTCTCAGACAGTGGGAGAAGGAACTGTTTTTTTGTGAGTAGAAAAATAAAAATTCCATTCCATTCTACTTCTCGTGTGTTGTCATGGCAATGGAGTTGTCGCTTTAGGACCAGAGCCTCCATCACTAAGCGATAAGGGACCACTATTATGCACTTTTTCTTTCAATAATGCTAATTGTAAATCATATTCTGAGAGGTGTCTTCACAGTGGTGTCTATTTTTGAGATTCATAACCAAATGATTTGAGTAATTTTATGTATTCTCGTTTGATGGGTATCGAAGTGATGTCTAATTCAACACGCCTAATTTTCACTCTGGAAAAAAATTACTAATGAACTGTGTTTGTATATAATCAGGAAAGTATTCGGATGGAAGAAAAATGTATTTTCAAGATGAAATAAAAATGTGCTACTGGTAATGAGAATATTACGTGTATGTGGTGTCTAGATTGTCCAGTGTGCTGTTTTCAGGGTTTTAAATCCTAGAGGCTTTTTAAACCCAATGACACAGAGGACCGGGTGGTGATTGAACCTTGGCTGTCAGAGCTGGAAGACCTGGGAACTGGGGGGGGGCACTCAATGCTAAACACGAATTTCAAATAACCAATCAGTAACTCTAACATAATTAATCACAAAAGAGTAAAATACGCATGCACACACTGATCCAAAAACAGCTGTCATTACATGGATGAATCAAATGAAAAGAACTTTTATTTAAGCAAAATCCAAAAGCACGCTTGGAATGTTGAACCTCAAGACAGACAACCTTCAGACGTACATTGCCAAAGAGCCAGTTGCTGTATCTTAGAAAGTAAGGTCATTCCAGAACAAAGCATACGTCCAAGTCAGTGTGTGTGGCCATGCTGATAGGACAGATGTCAAGCGCACTTGTTGCTGTATTGAATGACCTCTGACATCCCTCATTTTAGGCATGTGCAGTTGGAATACCTAACAGGCTTCTGCTTCCCTTACATTCTGATTGGAACAACTCTGAAATACACATTCATGAGGATGGCAATGACTATTTGTGTGAACATTTACATGAGTTGACCATTGTCGGAGGTCATAAAGACACTGACGTGCTAGCCGTTTCAGACTGAATTAGGTGGCTGCGGCTGGCAGTAATACACACGTCTATAGGAAGTAGCCACAGCCCCTAGCCAGTGGCTCCCATAGGCACGTGCTCTTTCCAGTAAAAAAATTTAAACGAAACCTTAAGACTCTTTATTGGTTAGGTACTGAGACAGCACTCAGGAAACCACTTGACCTTCCTCAGAAAAACCCTAGATTTCGTGAAAAACATTTTATAAAAATCCCAATCTATTTACAACTCGTCACTGTTGAAGTCCTCAAACCCCTGGACATCACAAAGGGTAACATAAGCTGTCTAGCAATTTTTCCAAAGAGCAATGACCAACATTTAAAAAAAAGTAATCATGCTATTCCTTCAAAAACCAGTAGGTTTTGTCTTTGATCTTGGTCTGTTTGGGGTCCAGTTTTCTCAGGATTTCAGTCAGCCGCTTGACTATGACATCCGACTTAAGTCCGATCTTCTTGGACTTCAGCTTGTAGAGCAAATCTTTGGTCGTCATGGGCTTCCTAAGCAAGTAACGTCTGACAATGTCTTCTGTCAGACCCATGGCCTCCCTACATCACGACAGACAAAAAAATATTTAAAAAAAGACAGGAATATAGTTCCTATGGTTCAAAGCATTTGTAAAAATGCACAAAGAATGGCAGGGGCTGGATTTGGACCAGTGATCTTTGCAGTACAGTCGCTGTGCCTCATCAAAAGAGCTATCACGGTGAAGTGGAAATCTTGCAATGCAACCATGTCTCTGTTCCTCAGGTACTAAACAGAGATAATGGGGCATAAACAAGGGTAGATGTGGAGGGGAGGAACTGGCATGCCGTGGACCTCTTTCCCCAGATAAGGGGAAGTTTTTTCTTTTTAACTAACGACAGGCAAATTTTTATATCTACTTAATTTCTTTTCCTTCCAAAAACTCTGTACAAAGCCCCAAAATGTAATCTCGCCCTCACAATGGCCGTAAACATTTACAGGAAAATTATTTCCATTTTTTGCTCCCCCCCCGCGGAATTGGTTTGGATCTGTCCTGGGACACACATTTGCACTGCATAGCAACAAACAATCCCCAAACTACAGAGCAGCCTTGGGACAAGTTAGAGCGGAGATCATGCTGGATGCAGCTTCAAACTGAATGAAGGTTTACATTTTTCCAAGACAGACCAAAAAACTCACACATTCATCAGAACTCTACCAAGAAACTGAAGCCATGGAAAACTCTCTGTAGCTTCGGTTCAGTGTACACCTGACAATAGATCAGCAAACAGACTTACTTCCCTGGTGTCCTGCCCCCTGACTGGTCACCTTCCATCTTGAGTCTCTTTGATGAAGACCCTTCATTGGTACCCGGCGGCCTTTTGACCGATACTGAACGAGGACACACAATGAGAAATCAAACATTTCACAAAGACCTATGACTCAAACGACTTGATGCAAATCATCGACAGCCCCACCATAACAACGCAAAAAATTCAAGCTACCACTAAACATGGTGGGAAAAGAAGTATGGCAAGTTTAAACAGTTAAAGAACTCAGCTATGGATGGCGGTTTTGACAAAATTTTCTTCATACACCTGCCTTGTACATATACTTGTTAACTGAAAAATTACTCAGCTATAGTACGGTATGCTTGCTACAACAGTACCCTGCAAGATAAAAACAACAACCCAGAGTGGACACAGACTTGGAATTTTTTTGATTTGGACTCCAATCAGTAGGACTCAGACTTGGAAGTGAACAGACTCGACTACAACACTGGCTCGTGCTGTGGCCAGGACTGCTAACCTCTCTCTTGATGCAGCTTCCTCGCAGCATCAGACAGCGTGCTGGTAGTGGGCGGGGCAACGTTGGCACTCTGCGTGGGCGTTTCCGGTCTGCTGGAGCTCCTGCTGCTGCTTTTCGAGGGGAGCTTCTGGCTGGGTGGGGTGCCGGGCCTCTTGCTGGGCTTCCTCTGTGGGTAGGTGACCAGTTAGCGATGATAATGGCACCATGTTGCCTCATAAGGACCCTCTCATAACAACAGTTACAACACTGTCTTCCCCAGACATTATCAACCTGAGCTAAACTTTATACCAGCACTTTCTGTTTTTTTCCTGGTAAAAAGTCCAACTGAAGTTTCGATGCTATAAACATGTATTATACAAAAAGGCATCCCCTTTTCATTTCTGTGGTTCTTTCAGACTTAAAGCCAGTTTGTTTGACTCAGATCCGTATCGCGATCAGTGATCCGGATCTGAATCACTGACACCAAAACCCGCCTAATGGATGGAGCGAGCCAGCGATGGGATCACTGATCGAGATCCAGATCCCTGTGAGACAAACTGGTCCTTAACACGTACAGGCCCCTGATCGAAAAGCCTTTCATTTTGCACTGAGTATGTCTGGCCCGCTTAAATAATGAAAAACAAAACATGAATAATAAATTTGATCGATAAGGTTCTGTGCTATTTGATACATATCTCATTATTATGCACAGGACAGCGTAGAGTGGTCTATGCAATCCCTCAATAACACGAAGGCTTTATCTTTCACCATGAGGGATCAAGATTAGTTCTGTGGTATCATGGGTGTCTGACAGCCAAAACACTAGTGAGCCGCATGGTGGTAATATAACGACATCAAGTTTGCCAACATCCAAAAGAGAGCTTCATGATTCAATCAAAGACTGCATAACAAAAGACAATGCGTACATGGCATCATTATCATCTAGCCATCCATATGGGTACCACTGAACTTCTTTTGTTTCCGATTTATTCATTTTCACCCGACAGGGCCATAATTCAGAGGTCCCCCCAGGATAGATATTTGAACCATGGATACAAAAAGGGTAAGGGCAAACCTGTTACATATAATGAGACAAAAAGAGACAAAAAGAGTCACTCAAAGAGACGGGGTGATAGTCCTAAATTATGAAAAAAAAGACAACTTACTTGCATCAACATAGCCGACTGAATTTTGGTGTCGTCGATGTCACTGTCGTCAGAGTCGGAGCTACTGGAACTGCTGAAGGCACCTTGGAAACAAAGACAGTCACACCGAGAAAATTACGAATAACTTTGCCATCAATAAAGCACTGTTGAACAAATGCAAAGCATCACAACTGAACTGTTAAGACATTAACAGTTCAGTCGTACCGTGGACCGACACCGCAGTGCAACTGACAAATAACTCGGATAACGATCAACTTCTGCATTTCAAGACTGAGGCATGGGTGCCATGAGAGGGCCCCCGCCAAAAGGAAAAAACAATTAAAATGAGGGAAAACCAGGAAAGGAAATGGGAGAGAAAGGAAAAAGAACTGAGAGGAGGATGTGTAGAACACCGCTTTGCTAGAAAATACCTTCGAATTGATCCCCTTCTGCTGTTGACAGTTTTCAGTTTGCTAATAACGAGTGCTAACATTGAGATATACATCATGTAGCAATTTTCGCTGCGCCCTCTTCTTGCTGTTCAAATGCTTTTACAGCCAACACATTCTGGGCTTCATATCTCAATCAGATGGGCCCCCTGTACAGACACATTGCTTATAAGTTTGTTTTAAACTGACAGACTTTCACATCACAAATCTGTCTCGTGTCTCTCTCCGGCCTCACCTTCCTTTTTGGCCGATTCGTCCTTCCCATCTGTCTCGTCTTTCGTCTCCTCCCCGCCCCCTTCCTTCTCTTGCTCCTCCTCTTCTTCTTCTTCCTCCTCTTCGTCCTCGATCTTCTGCAGCTCCTCGTCCAGCCCCTTGATGTCAATCTTCTTCTGCTCCTCCTCCTCGTCGCTGATTGACCAATCAGAACAGGTGTAGTTATCCACATCGGCTGATCAAACTGTGAGACTCTACAAACAAGCTGAGTGTACTGAGTTACCACCAGAAAAGCTCAAAACGTTCTTCGTTTCCCTATTTGATCTGTGATTTTGGCTAGAATTTTCTCAGTGGCCCGAAAAACTTTCAGGTGTCATGAAGCAACCTCAGTTAGTCAAGGATGTCATCTCTCCCCCATGAGAAACCATGACGACACCATACCTGGAATCTTCCGAGATGTAGTCTAGTTCCCTGCCTTCAAAGTCCCCCTCATCACTCTCCTCTTCGGCTTCATCGTCCGAATCCTGCTTCTTTTTCTTCGCCTTCTTAGACTTTGGCTGGCCTTTTCTCTTAGCCTTCGATTTGGCTGCATCGAGAAGTACAAGGAGGTGTTATACATGTAATTGCTTTTCATAATTGTAAAGAAATTTGTGCTTTCAGTCTGTTTACTGGCTGTCATTTGAAGCATAACCAGCTTCACAAAACTCTTTGACAGGAAAACGTTTGGTCAACTGGAGTGCATGTTACAGTGCAGATATACCAGCATTATACAGGTATACCTCAAGCCGGACCTATGAACCAAAGACTTCCACATAATGCAGGCTGTGCAAACCTTGTGTGGGCTAAGCCAGGTATCCAAAAGGGTTACCCCTTTCTCAGAAAAGTTTACAAGGCATTTTCAGGTTAAGGTTATTTGTAGCAAACGGAAGAGGAACAGTCAAGGAAACCCTCACCAAAAATCCAGCTTGACTCAGTGCAAGGGAAATGATTAATCTCACCAAACTCTCTTTACATGAAAACAAAGGAATGACCACACTAGCTACAGTGGATAACGTAAACATGTGTATCTAACACCTGTATGTGTATGGATGTGTCTACACTTCGTTTTATCCGAGTCCCAACTCTTAAGTTAGTGAGCTCTTTGTCAAGATAGCTGCTTCATTTTCGACAAAAAACTGGTCCCACATCGATTCAGGATATTCTATTGTATGGTATTCACGTGCCCACAAAGCATATGGCAAGTCTTCCCAACAATCCGTCTTTGCATCGATTCAGGATATTCCATTGTCTGGCATTCAGGTGCCCACAAAGCATATGGCATGTCTTCCCAACAATCCGTCTTTGAATCCGCGGTTATGCTACCTGTCTCATCATCCTCTTCACTCATGAACCCATCGCTCTCCTCCGAAGTCATCAGGTCTTGATAGTCATCGTCTTCCGTGATTCTCTGATCAAGTGATGGAAATGTCAAACCATTAAGAGTTTTACATTAGTCACAACACTCTCAAGTTGAGTCGTCGCAAGTAATTCATACTTTGAAACAAGGAACAGGAATTTCACTTTAATGTAAAAGATAATAAAGTTTTATAGCGACACTTATTTTGAAAATGTAGTCACAATGACCTCGACATTAAAATAAAGTTTTAAGGTTGATGATAGTAAATTTATGGATGTTTTAAATGCAACCAGAACTGCTGTGATTCACATCTAAAACTAAAGTCATGTCACATGGAACCTAGTTTTGAAGCTCTGGTGACTTATTGGGGAGTACATTTACTTACATTAGGCCCCTAAAACAAATGAATTAGGCACAGAAAGTCGAAAGAACAATAACAGATGTCAGTGTTGTAGTCGAGACCATCACAAGACCAGACACAAGACCAGAGACTGGACCATGCACAAGACCAGACACAAGACCAGACACAAGACCAGA